TATTCATGAACCATCATTTATTAACTTATTTCCCTGACACTGAAGGGTTAAAATAGTCACATGTTTGTTTTAGTCCCCGTTCTGAATACTGACTTACTTTTTAGGTTAAATTCCGATTTGCCAGGATAAAAGATACAGTGACTTTAAATGTCCACGTTCTATAATGCTGCATTACTTTCCAAAGTGCTATCATTCTCTGGTGCTAGTAACCATGAAAGATAGTCCCGTTTTTGCAATAATTCCACTGATATTGGTCATTATTAATTAAAAATCATACTGTAGAGCTGTTTGAATTGTATTTCAAGGCAATATTAATGTTGCCATCTTGTCTTTAAAAGAAAACTATTGATACCTTCTCCAGCATCTTAAAGAAGCTTAGACTCGTGTCCCAGGACCCCAGAGCTAACCCTAAGGAGCTTTCCGGGGTCACAAGAAACTGGGGAACTGGCTATGTATGCCCAACTAAGCTGTGCGTAGAGGCAGGGGCTAGAAGAACATTAAGACTGCATGGACAGCCTTTGTCTGCCACCCAGCTTTTCAGTAACTGAATGATACATGTAAATCTGCGATTAAAAATTCAGAATACATTTGACAATACAAATGGACTGCCAGATAAAGGTAATTCAATCCGGTGAAAGGATGAAATAAGTGTTTGGATTGGTGTTGTTTTAATAGTAGAACAAAAGGCTATAGTATCACTTTGATCATTTAGGCATTATGAAGTAATGTCAACCCGCTCTTTGTAAGCCACCCACAGCCTGTCATGCCTGTTGCAGACACTGCCTTCCCTAACTCACCACAGCCTCCTGGGAAGCAGGAAAAGGACCATACTGAAAGACACAGGCAAAAGGAAGTAGACATAGGAAGTTGTAAAAATAGTGAATTCAAAGATCCATTGGGACATTTAGGGTCGGGACTCTGGGATACTGCCAGGAGGTAGCTTGGTTCATCTTCTATGTGAATGTTGCCTAGCTGAGAACAGGCTACATTCCTATTTCTCTTCAGTCTTGTCAAGAGTCTAAAACTATCTCTTATTGAAAGAAGTCACTGTACATAAGTAATTAACACTGTATCCTAGAGTGAAAGCTTTCTGAATTGAGCTCCAGGCATGGAGAATGGAGAAAGAGTATAGATATATTGTCCTAAAGTAACAGGGGTAAGCTGAATGAGGGAGCAGAGTGGAAAGAAACACTGGCTTGGATTATAAATTACCTTCACACTGCTGTGGACCATAGTGTCTGGCTCAGGCACCTTAAAGAGGGACACTATTTTAGCTCTTGGTTTCAGAGGACTTGGTTCAGTGAGCTGGGGAAGAATGCCAGACCTCTGCTCATTAGTATAGGCATGTGGCAGTGGCCCTTCACATCGCCGTGGGCCAGGGTGTGAAGAGTGAGGCAGGAGCCAGTGCCTGGGTAAGGCTTTCTGCTTGTAACTTAAGCATCCATCAGGACCCCACTTTGCAAAAGTTCCAAAGTATCCAAAAACAGCCTCACTAGCTAAGAAATAAATGTCTAAAACACATGCCAGTGAGGGATATTTTACAGTCAAACCAAATAGAGAGAGTGGGGGGAGGTTGTGACAGGGGGACAGGAGAAAGAGAAGAGTCTTGGCTCTTCTGGAGTTCAGAAACTTAAAACAGTAGGTGTCTCCCATATGGTCAAGCCAACCTTGTATACAAGCAGTATCAAATAAGGAGGTAGATCCATAGTTATTAGGATGTGTGTAGATAATTTTTCCGACCCTACAGGAACTACATCCTGGACTTTTTAAATCAAAGGAGGAAATCATTCTACAAAGATCAAGAGTGGGGCTTGCATGAAGGCTACAGAGTTATGATTGGTATGAATGCCTTGATGTGCGTACATGTGTAAGTATGGATATGTGTGTGCAGCAGCTAGACTTTATCACCAGGTATCTTTTTCAATTGCTCTCCGTATTACTTTTAAGCAAATCTCTTTCACCAAGACCTGGAGCTCACCAGTGGGGCTAGACACGCTGGTCAGCAAGGAATGAGGGACCCTGTCTCTATTTCCCTAGCTGTGGGATCATAGGCTCATGATGTTGTCCCCAGTATTTTCCACAAGTGCTAGGGATCTGAACTCAGGTCCTCATGCTTGCACAGCCAACGTTTTACTGGCCGACCCATCTCTCCAGCCCTTTTGACATTTTTCAGTTATATCTGAAATCTTCACAGTGCACAGTCGCATTGATGATGGCATGATGATCTCATACAGCCTTGGTGATATGCCAGAAAGATTATGGAGACATCTGCACACAAAAAGTTCTTCTTACGGGGAAATTTCGGTACTACATTTTACTCAGCATGAGACTAAGGGAGTGCGCCATGGAATTCTGGGGGTACTGAGGAAATGGGATTTTTTTGAGCTAAAATTATGTTAAAAATATGTTGTACAGAGAGATCCAGACTCTGGCTTACCCCTTTGCATTTGGGTCCTGTTACACAGACTTTTACTAGTCCCTATGCTGTGGTACTGTCATGTAGATCAGAAATCTAACCACACGTTTCCTCGAGCAAATAAGAAAGACCCTGACTAATTTAGTCCGTGTTTGCAAATAGGGACATTGAGTTTCTGGGATCACTCATCTGCTCAAGAAGGCCACCGCTTACTTGTGGAGAAAAGCCTTAGTGTGTCGCATGGAGTGGAGGCAGGGGCATTGCCATCATGTTTTCAGATGCTGTGCCCTGCCGGGCTTAGTCCAACAGGGCTGTAAATGCAGGCTTTTCCCACAGATATGCTTGCCTTTCTGTGAGTCTACACACTTCATGCTCATGAATTTGTGGCCCGAAGAATTCCAGATGCCCCCTCTGAATGCCCACAGGGGCTTTTCTAGAGTCAGTTTCCACTTGGCCTGAGCTAGCTTCTTTCTTTCTTTTTTATCTTGAAATATCACTTGAGAGTTAGAAAGGAGGCTGATCTTAATTCTTCCTTCAACATGACATGCCCTTTGGAAATCGTACAAATAGCCGTGTCTGATTGTCATGTTGAATTGCGAGCATGGATGTGTAATGTTTCCTAGTCTAACTAAAACCAAATATTAGGTCATAAGTCAACATTTTGTGGATAAACTTGGTACTAAGAGGTTGAAAATTTCTATCTTTTCATAGAAAAACTTGTTTGCCAATGGAAAAAATTTACAAAGTCTGTTACCTTCCTTTGTGGAGGGAGAGAGATGTGTGCAGTTTTGCAACCTGGGTCAAAGTCTTTTAAGACTTCTGGGATTGGATTGACCAAGGAATGAGGCCTTGGTGTAATATTTGAATTGCTTCCCCTGGAGAAAGGTAATAGGTGGCAGAGGTGTGTGTCGTTTCTTACAAGATTGTGTGAAAGGCTGCAGGAAGCCAATTCCTGATCCAAGAGGTCACATTCTACCCACAAATATTTGTGATGGAAAGAATCTGATGGGAAATAAGACATCTTAGGTCATGGGCATTTAGGGTCTTGAAAAAAAGAAATATCTTGCTAAGTGTGATATTGTATTCTTGTAATCCTACTACTTTGGAAGTTGAGAAAGAATGATCATGGGTTCAAGACCCATCTGAGCTATATAATAAGATATTTTCTCAATACCTAAACTCCTCCACCCAAAAGAAAAAGAAAAATACAAAGCAGTAGAAGACTGATTTTTGCCTCAGCATCCATTTACTTATTGAGGAAGCTTAGGGGAAATGAAAGGCCAACAAAAGCCGAAACTGGAACAATGCTCTGGACAGTGCCAAGAAGCCTACAGCTTGCCAGCTTGGTTTAATTTTGTTTGTGGTGCTCCAGCCCCATTACCAATCCTATACCTATGCTTTATAACATCCGGTGTGGGGGGGGGGGCGACAAGGCAAGAAGCATCTGTGTACTCCACAGAGAATGGAAACTAGGCCCTTTGATACATTGAGAATGTATGCAGTATTTTAAGAAAGCCAAGCGACAAAGTCTCCTTTGAAGAAGAAAAGCTGTTCACAGTCTTCCTGGGTGCCCAAATTCTAGTCAAAGTTAGAATCACAGCTCAAGATAGAACTGAGTATCTGCTGTGGAAGGGCTTGAGGGGTAGGACTCAGCTGTGGATGCAGATAGATCCCCAATAATCTACAACTATCACACTGTTGGAAAGTACTGATGCCCGAAGCCCCCTGTGTATGAGTGATGCACATGTGCACATACAGCACAGCACAGATGTATGTGAGCATGCTGGACAGTTTTCCATGCCTACAATCCCAGCACTCTGGAGACTAGAGCAGGAAGATCAAATTTAAAGCCAGCCTAGGAAACATAGTAAAATCCTGTTTTAACTTCCCGCTCCCACCAACAAAAACGGAGAAGACATGTGTGTGTGTGTGTTGTGTGAATGCATGCATTTGTGTATATGCTTATCTTCACGTAAATGCAGATAAAGGCAAGTGGCAGAAGCATTACATGTTACTGTAACCATCAGGGGCCTGTCCTTAATGGGTTCCTACCATTCATGGCAAACCCTAACATGTTCTCTTGCTTGCTATTCCATCATGACTACCCAGGGCCACTGAACCCATACTCATGTTCACGGTAAGCAGGACTTAGCAGTTGGGTTCTTAATAAAAGTCAGTGGACAAGATTTATAACAGTTCTCGAACATCTGTATTCTCCAGGGAAGAGAGTCTTTCCCACCCCTGTGGTGCTATTATGTGCCCCCGACAGTTCTGCTTTGAAAATCTTAGGCCGCTGAGTGTTACTTCCTGTACTCCCAAGGGATAACTGTCATATGTGCGAAGTGGGTCTCTGTGACTCACCTCCCACTCTTCCACTCTGCCTGCTCCGTGAACGTGCTACGGTGAATGATATCGACTTGTATTGTGTTCACAATCCACAGGAAATGCCAGGAGAATTTTTTGTGGAGTCTGAATGGGACCACTTAGAGGGGCCCCTCAAACTCAAACATTGTAATGTCCCACTGCTTCAAACTCTTGTGGCCAAATAGCTTTGCTGGACTTCATGGTGATTTGGGTCTTTCAGGCCAAGAAGGGGAACTACGCGTTTCTGTGGGATGTGGCCGTGGTGGAGTACGCAGCCCTGACAGATGACGACTGCTCCGTGACTGTCATCGGCAACAGCATCAGCAGCAAGGGCTACGGGATTGCCCTGCAGCATGGCAGCCCCTACAGGGACCTCTTCTCCCAGAGGTAGGCACAGTCATCAAGACAATTCCAGCATGCTTGGGACCTTGGCAGCTGGGATGGAAGGATAACCTCCTGTTATGACGTAAGAGCCAGAGTAATTCATTAGTCCTCACATCTTCCTCAGCACCTCAACTCTTCCTTTTGGGTACTGGGATAAAAAGCAGGAACTTCATGCTCCTTTTCAAGGGAGGCAATACCGTGGGTGGGACTATGATGTGGGTAGGTGATACCAGTGCAGAGTCCAATAGGGTATTGGGGGTGGGAAGGTGCAGAAAAGGGCATCTGATAGGTCCCAGAAGGACTTCTCGGAGGTAGTGAGAGCAGGGGCACAGAGGAGTCAAAGGAGTCACACAGATAAATAAATTCCAAGTAGGATCTAGGAGACCTAGATCTCTTTTTAAAGTGTGTCTTCAAAGTGTGAGTCGTCCGTGTGGAGATGCAAAGGTGAGAGTCAGAGAAGCAGACGTCTGTCTCCATGTGTGCCACGTGTGACCTGATGGGGCCTGTTGACTTGCATCCAATTTCCCGGCTGAAGGAGATGCTGCTGTCTACTGGGGCAAGATCTATACCTGGCCCTTTGTTTGTGACAGGAGGAAGGACAACCTCTTGTTTCCTGTATTCCCCACTCTCTCCACATCAAAACATAGGCTTCTGGGTTTCTATGCCACCTTCTTAGAGTTAATTAATTCTGATTTATGCTCATTAATATTAGAGAAACTTGAGAGCGTTTTAGAGAAAGAGGCCGTGGGGCTAAGGAGACAGGAAATGTTCAGCCTTGGGGAACTGAATGGGTGGCTCCATCAGAAACCAATGTAGCATGTCTACTCCATGTTTATGTTTCATCTCCCATGTGGTTGCTAGTATGAGTTTGTCCCTTGAGCCTGCTTAGCTCTAGACTCTTAGGCATGATGAAGTTATTAAGAGCTATTCTCTTTTTTTTTTCCCCACACTGGTTTTTGTCATAGTACTTCCTATGGTCTGGATGATCCAACTTTAAGCAGGAAGGTAGAACCAAAAGATACAGGTAAATTCAATGGCTGTTTTTTAGTAGCCAGTTTACTAGCAGACACTCTATCTTGTCTCTAAAGAGGTCTAGCCTTGGACCCTCAGATTGCATATATCTGTGATGGGGCATCCCACTGATGGAAGGAATTAGATAGCAGTCACTGAGAATGTTCTAGGGAAAGGCTCTGCCCATCATAACCAACAAGAGGTGGCAGAAACATTATCATAGACAAGTCCATTCAGTTAGGGGTAGCCCCTAGTTGCCTGATCAACAGATGAATTCTAACGTCCTTGTGTTATCCACTTGAAGAATAACCAGATGGATACAGTAGAATTGTTGAAGATCATCTCTTTTCCACTCTAACTCAGGGCGAAAGGGAGAGAGTTCTGGGCCTTATACTTGCAGCTCTCCTGAGCTCTGATGTGGGGCCATGTTACTGTTGAATCTGAAAATCCTACTGCTTGTCCTATCCCGGAATTCTTCATTGGATCCTTCTGCTCATGATCAGTAAGCCTCGGCTTCACCCGAGAAGGCTGAGAAGGAGGGTTTGCAACCTATCTAGTCAGTAGCATGCTTGCAAAATTTGGTGAAGGGGTAGGAGCAGTTAAGTGAGGCTTCAGGCTCTCTGCAGAACTTCATCAAGCACGTTTTAGGTCCCTCGCTCTGCCCTCTGGAGTGGAGCTGTGAAAACAGAGTATTTCTCAGTTGCTGAAACTCAAGGTATGGCTTCTCTTTGGAATTCAGAACACAACGGCATTTCTGAAGAATACGCGTGTTTGTTTTTTTAGATGGGGGGTTCAAGGTGATTGCACAGACCATCAGTCTGCAAACACCACTCACTGTAGAGCAGATGGTAAGGGGACCCATAAGGCCAGTGTTGCAGCAACACCCAAACAATGAGTCTCAAGACAGTGCTCGTGGATGTATGGGACCTGTTAGTGGGAAGTTGGAGGCCCATGAGCTAGCTCTGCTCAATTTTCTTCTGTAAATCTGCAGAAATGAGTCAATATACTATCAGTATATTGGAGAAAGAAGAGAGGGGATGTTAGTTAGGAAGCTTGGATCTCTACTGTGTTGTCAAATGGTCAGCACAGCAATGAGGTTGGGAATGTCAGTGGAAAATCCTCCAGATGCAGAAGACAGACATGAGGCAGGGAAGTGGAATTGGTCCCCTCCACTGCCAATAGCCTTGCTGCATGCGAAGGTAAGCAAAACTCCTACTGTCAGGATCTACCCACAGAACGCTGTAATTGCTGGGCCCTGCCCCCACACTACCAAGTAAAAAGCCCAATCTCTGGACTTGAAATCCCACCAATCTCCGCCCTGGAAAGTTTCATCCTGAAAAGTCCCACCCTATCCCCAAGAAACACTATATAAATCCTTCCATCTGTTCAGCTCTCTGCTGTTTCTCACCAGAGCAAAGGCAGCCACCCTTCTGATTTTTCCTTCCCAATAAATCTCTTGTGTGAGATTTGTTGTGTGGTGTGACTTTGTGGTATTCTTTGACTCCCAACTGCCAGGATACCTTTCTATCTAAGCTGCAATGCTTACAGCAGAAGTAGTTAAATGTTCTTTACATGACTTCATAGGTTAGTAGACCACAACCAGCATGGGGTTAGGGCTGGGCACCAGAGAGGAAGCTAGCTGTGATACAGGTCTGCACAGATCTTTTTTTCTGCATTACTATGGAGTCCTTATGAAAATCTCTATTGGGACCCTCTGGCCTCTCTTTCCCATTACAGTGGTCACAAAAACATAAGTGAAATGTCCAGACTTGTTATTCTTCTTTTAAGAAAAATTTACCCTTCATAGTTTCGTCAGAAGACGATGGGTTCCAAGGACTGTGCTGACCTCCTACAATATTGTTATATGTCTCCACAGCACAGCTTCCCCATGAGCTAGTAGCCTCCCTCCTTCCAACAGACAGGTATTTGCCCTTCAGGGGAATTCTCCAGTCATTATTTCTAACTCTCTTCTGTCAGCGGGTCTAGAAGAGGCTCAAGTCCAGTGAAAACTGCCTTCAGCTTGAATGTACCTCAGAGAAATGAAGGGAGCTAATCAGGGGGCCACACACCATGTCATTTGAGTGTGGGTCTACACTCTATAACTAGCAGATTCCAGGCTTCTCTGGAATTTCTGTGGTCACCTTTCCCTTTATACTAGGAGTCAAGCTATTTGTTTGCCTTGAAAGAGACTAGGCTGTAGACATAAGTGTATGTGGTATGGCGGTTACGTGCTAAAACAGTTTTGCAGACCACAGCATGCAGAGTGGGCATTCAATAAGTGTTTAGCAACGTAATAGCCATTTATTGAGCACCTACTGTGTCGCAGGCGCCACAACTATTGAATAAAGCAAAGTACCTGCAATTATATCTGTCTGGAAAATAGAGCAACTGGCTTCAGGAAATGGCTATTATCGCTCCGGTTCCTCATAAGAAGGAGTATAGATTGTTATAGCGCACATTAGTTTAGCCTCGTTCTTGAAGGCACTCTGTGCACATGGCTTGTTTGTCCTGTTGCGTCTATATCCATGCTTTCTTGTTTCATTGTTTGTTTTGTTTTAGTTTTCCTGTAAATCGCCACACGTTCTTTCTGAAATAAGATGCGCCGTAGAAAGATGCATACAACTGTAAGGAGAAAAAGTCAGAAAAATTTAAGCAGCGTGCCTGATATTGCCCAGAAACTGTGAGGAGATCAGATCCTACGGTCCTTTCAGGGCCTTACCGCCTCCCAGGTCAGAACTTGACCTTTGGGTAACAACCTGTTGTCACAGAAAGAGCATGCCCCCACCCCCAGATCACTAATGGCCCAGAGCCGAAGACTAGCATTGCCAGTTTCTAATTCCATCTCTGGGTAAGTCAGGTGCATTCAGTGCTCAGGCCTTCAGGAAGTAAGACGGGCAGATGAAGCATTGCTATGCATGCAGTTAGGCAGATTCAGGAAGTGCAAATGATTTCTCCCTGCAGTGTTCTCTCAATAAGAGGTAGCTCCTGCTGAAGACTGACTTGATAAGAAGCTGCTCAGTAGGGCCACCCAGCTGCACGACTACCACGCAGTTCTTACGGAGCCTGTTACTATTCCGGGTTATAAGCTAATGGCCCCTGAGATGGGTATCTTTATCTAATAGCAGATATTGGTAATGAGAGAGCTAGGGTTGAGAGGTTCAGTATCTGGATTAGAATTCATCTCTATCCGTGACACATCTGCATCTACAAACAAAGGGGTCTGATGTCTTCATGAGGAGTCAGCAGTATACTCCAGTTGCGAGTCCCCTGGACAGGCTGATCCCTGTGTATCAGTGTCTGTAACTTACATTAAGCTCGCCCTACTCACCCCAGCCACCAGAGACTTAACAAGGCCAGTGAACAGCCAAACAGCTTTGGATGACCAAAGTAGTAAGGTGTGAGGTGGACACTGTAGGGTCCTGTTCATCGTCCACCGTGCCATTGCAGAGAGCATCCTGTTCATCGTCCCCTGTGCCCTTGCAGAGAGTTGTGGTTCCCAGGGACATTCTGAGCACAGCCACAAAACACAAAGATACACATACATGTAAATCAGTGACCTCGGGGACCATGTCCTTCTAGGCATGGCCATGTTTTAAGCCTTTGGGTGTCATCACTGCCCTGATTTCTTGCTGGATGTTTTTATATTCTCGCTATGGCCCTTCCCGCTTAGTTTGTGTTCATTATTCAGCAAATGCATTCACACATTCGTTGACAGGACAAATATCTGATAACAAGTAGCTTTTGTTTTGATATCTACTAAGCTTGCGCATGACAAACATAGAAAGCTGCAGCCCTACTCATTAGAATGGGAACCACAAATCAATGAGGCGTAGCAGCATTTGGCCCTCATCCAGTAAAACACAGATGAGATCAAAGCCTACTCCATCCTGAGCTGGGTCCTTCTCAGACAATAAGAGGCTACACCATGCTGGCCCATGATAGAGACAGGACCTGGGAGACACCAGACCTCTGCGTGGTATGTGGGCCCAGCCTCAGAACTATGGATGCAAGTCCAGTGCTGAGACTATACAACTATCTAGTTGAGCTTCTGCAGTTCTTTAACTCCACAGGCCTGTGAGCTAAATGCATCTCTATGGACCAGACTCATAGATAACTACCCATCAGATGGAAAGGCTTTTCTATTTTGAATCTGCAAGCCACCCGTGATACCTGGCCCTCTCACTGTGTAGAGCTCTACGTTACAGAAGGAGCACACAAAACACCGCAGTGGTAGAAGCCAGCATGAGGACTTGTCCCACCATTATGCAGTCAGACCCCCCTCTCAACCCCTGTTAGAGTGCATCTCAGTGTGTCTGCTTTATCACTTCATCCACTGCCTCCATCTTCCTCATTCACCACGGCACAGCTTCACTCTGTGTTGTAGCTGGCAAACTGCAATGAGTCCTTTGTTCCAGACAGAATATTAACACCTATTCCAGTTTCAGTGGTTGCCAGCCTCTGGAAAGTCATTTCACTTCTCTGTGCCTTGATTTCCTTCGCTATAAAGTAAGACAATAGGACTATTAATCCCAGAAGGTTGGCCTCTAAGATTCAGAAACATCTGCTAGGTATAGAGGTTGACTACACCCTGCCCAAGGAAACAACTGGGCCACCATTGTACTTCATGATCCATCGTCCTCCAGGCTTCCTCCACTGCTGTCTGCTCTGCACACTCCTCTTTAAGGCTGCAGCTAGAAACCCCTGGCGTGTGTGTCTCCCTGGCATTTCTCTGCTCATTTCCTTGTGTCCATCACCGCTTCGGTCTTCCCACTGACAGTCATTGTTGACATGTGCGTCTTTAGACTACAAGTTTAGCAGCTTTGAGCATCGTTCTTGGCACAGAATCTTCCTAAATGAAATGATGGAGGATAGCATGAGTCCCAGTAGGGCAGACAGGGTAGACAAATCGAGTTTCCCTTTTCCAAAATGGACAGGACAATAACAGCTTAAGAGTTTGGATTTTCCCCCCTGATTTGAAATACTGCATGTATGTAATGGAATAACTGGGAATGGGACCTAAGTATAAACATGAAATTAATTTATGGTTCATATGTATCATACACATATAGTCTGTGTATAATCTTATGAGATGTTTTAAATAAGTCTATGCATGAAATAAAGTTTGTGTTTATTAACATGTAAGAGGTCAGATGTAGAATTTTCCATTTGTGGTATCATGCAGATCTGCAAAAAGTTTCAGACTTTGAAGTATTTGGGATTCCAGGTCCTTGGATTAAGGATGTTTGACTTTCAGATGTTAAAATTTTATGGACAGCTTTTTTTATGACTGTGAATATACTAAATCTGTGTTCTGGGGGTTCCCCTAGTTCATTTCTGCATGCCCCAAGTTTATCCTTAGAACTTTCTCGGCAATCCGTGTGAGGGACCTGACATACTATGTCACTGAACCTTTTGGCACTGGTTCGGTGAGGAGGGAAAACCTACTATTGTATGTGCTGAAGGAAGCACTCTGAGTGCGTGGTGCAGAAGGCACTGTGGAAGAACCTGACTCTGAGAATTACTGTGATGCTTCCAGGGTAAGCATGCCAGGCTGTTGACAGGATCCGATGGCTTACATGAGGAAGTCAATGGCTATGACTCACCTGTATTGTGTCTTACAGGATCCTGGAGCTGCAAGACACAGGGGACCTGGATGTGCTCAAGCAGAAGTGGTGGCCGCACACAGGCCGCTGTGACCTCACCAGCCATTCCAGTGCCCAGGCTGAGGGCAAATCCCTTAAACTACACAGCTTTGCCGGGGTCTTTTGCATCTTGGCCATTGGCCTCCTCCTTGCCTGCCTTGTGGCTGCTCTAGAGTTATGGTGGAACAGCAACCGGTGCCACCAGGAGACCCCCAAAGAGGTTGGTGTCCTCATAGTCTTGCCATAATACAGAGGCAGGGTGTCTCCCTGGGCCATTTATTGGGTGGGTGGTTTTCTTCTAGTTAGTATTTATCAGAGTCACCTTGTCTTGACACGGCAGCATTTGGATATTGGGGGAATATGTCACATTTCCTTTTGTTTTTAAAGCAAGAGAGAAAATGTAGGGGATGTTTTCATGTTTGAACAAAGTGCCAAGGGACCAGCCATGGCCACTAAAGTCCTGTATTTATCTATAGAGCAGGTACAGCGTGGGCAGCGCCAGAGAGCCCTTCCCCACCCTGCCCCTCTCATGTGCTTCCACCCTGACCTGGAGAGACCACCTGTAGGGTAAGAGAGGAGCCCGCATTCCTTCTTGGTTCTCTTTGGTGTCTCACCCACAATCATAGGTCCCGTGGCCCCAGTAGGCAAGGGGTTCCTATCACCACTGTCTCTCTTTCTTTTCTCTCCCCTCATTCTCACAAGGCCTAGCCTTACCACGTTGGGAGAAACTCCAGGCTCTAGGTCTGGGTACTTCTCTCACTGTGTATACCAACCACTGCTGATTCTGTGCCTAGACACATCCATCTTGTTGGGGATTTGTTCTTCAAGGTCATTTTCTGATTTGTTTTTTTTTTTTTTTAAATGGACCCTTAAAGGGAATTCCCTTAAAAGAGGGTGTCAGAGATCATCGTGTTGTGATGATGCCTTGCTCACAGAAGCACACATAGGCATCTATAGGACAAGCTCAGATCCTCCATCCATGTATGGTCCCTGCCTGCTAAACACATGCGGGCTTCATCCAGAATCAGACTTTGGCTCATGGATTCTTCAGAGGCCTCTGGAGATAAATCTCCAAGAGGAAACTGTAAAGCAGCTAGCGTTCTGTCCAAAAGCAGTCATTACTAAGAACGCTGCCTGATGTTTCTGGTTTCATTTGTACTGGACGTGACGCACAGGTTCATTAATTGGCTTCAGAGGTGGGAGGTCAAGGAGAAAAGCAAAGGAAACTGGGGCAGGAACCACAGACGGGTAGGAGGGGGGAAGAGGTGAATGATCTCACTCAGCCTGGTGTGGGCAGGGAACTGGTATTTCTGTAGCAAAGATGCCTGGCATCTCTTTCCAAGAACTGCTTGGCTGACTGCACCCTTACCCATGATTGGCTGGCTGCACCCGTGCCCGTCAGTCTGCAAGGAAGTCCCTGGCAAGGAAGGCTATGGCTATGGCTGTCTCTCTGTCCTTCTGGCAAGGAAGGTAATGACTGTCTCCCTGTCCCTCTGACAGGAAGGCAATGGCTGTCTCCCTGTCCCTCTGACAGAAAGGCAATGGCTGTCTCCCTGTCCCTCTGACAGAAAGGCAATGGCTGTCTCCCTGTCCCTCTGACAGAAAGGCAATGGCTGTCTCCCTGTCCCTCCTACCCACTACTCTTTCAGTTAGTGCTTTGCTCTCTAATGACATGCACTGCAGAGTCAGCGCTAAAGTGTCCAGAGGAAGGGAGGGAGGGAGGAAGGACGGAAAGAAGGAAGCCTGGCTTCTCTACCATCTTGAAGGCTCTCCTGTCATCCCTGAACCACAGGAGGAAAGGGGAGGGGATTTAATGGTTCTTGTTAAGTTGGGAAATGATTATATATTCAAAAGGGTTTTTTTTTATATTTAAAAGGGGAGGGACCCTGACTTACTAATGAACAGATAAAGAAGAAGCCCCGGTGTCCTCAGCAACTGCAGAATCTTGTCAGTTCCCCCATACCAAAGCCAGGGCGCCTTTCCTGCCGCCACCATCCCAGGGCTTTGGACGTAAGAGCATCTTCAGGCAGCTATGGTGGGTGGTCCCAGGGCCCCTCTAAGTAGGAAGAGGGAAGATGGGACAGACAGAAAAGACATTGGTTGACCCACATTGTATCCCCACCGGTGCTGTTGGCTTGTTTGAGGTCTGGGCTTTCCTCCTCAGTAGGACTCTTGGTTTCCCCTCTACAAATGCTGCACAGGTCAGGTTAGCAAGGGAGGTTTATTTTCAGGTGGGAGGAGCTTGTCTACTTTTATTCTTTTGCCTTCATAGCCCCTAGTGTGGTGATCATTCCAGATGTAGTCACACAGAGTAAGTAAGAGGGAGGGAGAGACAGAGACAGAGAGAGACAGATAGACACAGACATAAATAAGCAAAGAGAGAACACAAAAGACCAAGGGATGTCCAGCTTGTGAAAGCACAAATTGTTGCTTCTTTCCTGGCAGGACCCCTTCTTGCTTTCTCACTTCTGCATAAATGTACACTTGCTGATAGGAGGGAATACATTTACAGACAATTTACACTTCCACAGTGTGAGCCCCTTGCCTGGCTCTCAGCCTGCATCCAGACAAAGATGAGAATGACAGAGACATAGAGGAAGCACAGTAGGTGCTGCCCAGCCTTCGCCTTCTGTTGCTGTTTAGATGGATTGCATGGGAAACTTCTCCTGGTTTTATAGGTTCTCAACTTTCAGAGGAAGTTTATAACACTTCCCTCTTTGCCTCCCTTAACAATAATGTCCATGTGGAGCCCTTTCTTCCCTTCAAGGGTACTTCTTACCCCCTGGGCAACTACAGCACAACTCACCGGTCTCCATCATGGAGATTGGGCTGTCCTGACCTAAGCAGTAAGAACCACTACAGCACAGAGCGGGCCCAGCCTAGCCAGCACATGATGGGGAAGCTGGGGGTTATGGTGTATAGTGATTAGTAAATAGTCTTGGGGCTTGAGGAGAAGAGTGTGGAGACTTGAGAAACCAGTAAAAAAAAAATCATTTAATTGGAGATGAGATGAAAAGTTGTATTTTGGACAAGCTGAACAAAGGTAACAGGAAGTAAGGACAGGGAGGAAAAGCCAATAGAAGAGCTCGAGGAAGGAGCATGGATTTATTTCCAATATCTCAATTCCAGGGCAAGGGGTTTGAACCTCATCACTATGAACAGAGGATGGACGTGGGATGGCAACACTTTAGAATTATATCTTTAAAACCGTGGTGAAATAATGAAGGTATTTAATTTAGATCCCCTTCACATTGCTACTGTTCCATGTTTTATGGAGTAGCCTTGCAATTAGGCGAGGCTGGCTGGAAACTCTTGGAATGTTTCATTTTGGGATACCAGTTATATTTCTTAAGAGCTGAAAAAGCTGTCTTTGGGTGGAGCCCAAGCTGTGTTTAACGGCTTGTGCTGTGATGTCTTCCGAGTTTAGACACCTTTTGGGGGGAAGGGTTATAATGTGCATTGAACCTCTTAATATTCATGCGCATTTGAGCTCATATTTTTTTCTGAGGAACCAGACAATTATGTAGTTACCCAATGCAGGTGAGTGCACCAAGCTCTTGGGGACGCAGTAAAGAGCCACTTGCGAGATTTATGGGGGATGTGGAATCATCGCTCTGAGAATGAAATATTCATGAAATAAAGATGAGAACCGCACAAATGGGAGCTGACATGAGGATTGAGGGATGAATCATCCATCACTGGGCTGGAAGTTGGAATTCTAGTTTCTCCCTGCCTTGCTCGTCCTGCCCCGTGTCTCCATGGGGTACAGGGCCAATGACGGCCAGGACAGCTGGCCAGCAGTGGCAACATAGCAGCATCTCCCTTGTTCTGTGGGGCTGGCCTTGAAAGCTTCTCCCCTACGGGTGACTGAATACTAGGAGTCCTCTCTTCAACGCCATACACCGCTTTGCCTCCACTCCTGTGCTTTACAAATTGCACGCTGTCTTCTTAGCCCTTGTCAACAACGTTTAAGGTGGGCTTCCTTATTACTGGAAGAGTACCACTCAAAAGCGACAATAGCAGAGCTGGCACAGGGATGACACAGCTGCCTCCCTGCACCTGCTACCTCCCGGAGGCAGGCTTGTCACAGTGTAAGGACACTGGGCTTTCTTGGGGTGTGCAGGATCATGAATTTCTACCTAGTATTTTCTAGAAGATTTTGAGAATAAGGGATGAGACTCAATTCTACTCTGGGTCAGGTTCTAGAAAGGCATCTCAGAACCTGTTTTTTTTTGTTGTTGTTGTTGTTTGTTTGTTTTTTGTCTTCTGTTGAAAACTGATACTAGCTGTCGAACAGTGTAATACATCCCAGAAACTAACCCAGAACATTCCAATAAGAAACATGGAGCACTTCCACACCACTGAGTATCTCAGAACCAGGTCCCTGGCAAAGCCCTCTCTGCCTGTGACCACTGCCCGTCTCTTTTGTTGTCAGTAACTTTTTACCTCTGTCTGCTTCAAACCTGCCAGTAGTTCCTTACCTCTGCATTTGAATCGCTTTGTCCATTCTCTGGAACACGGGAACTCTTGTTAGGGGGTGATGAATATAATTGAGGTATTGAACATTTTCTGTGTGCCAGGAACCAAAGATGAATGTTTTACCAAGAACATTAGCTCATCTGGTCATAGGAGCTCAAATGTAGTTATTGAATGAGCACACTAGTCTGGGCTCCTATAAAGAAAATGTTATTAAATGTTAAATTATTGTATAATCATTGTAACTGGATCAATGACTTCCAGTTTTGGCTGCATATCAGAGATGATCAATTCTGGAGCTTTTGAGAAGTACAGATGCTCGGCCCCAGTTTTCATAAGAGGATCTGGAAAACTATACTTTACAAAACTTCCGCATTCATTTCTGATGTCCTGCCAAGGGTTAAAACCTTCCATCATCTTTCTGCCAGGGTATACAGGAACCTTCCATGAAGAAGAAGGTGAGCCTGTCATGGTAGAAAAGAACCCCAGGGTTGGATCTCGGTGGACATGAGTACCCGTGCCAATACTATATTATTCAATGTGTCATCTTAAGCAGGTCACTTCACTGCTAGTCTCGGCTCATCCATCTGGGTCCTGCTGCTCCTATCTGATGTATGAAGGGTTTGTTGGTGCCTCTCATTTCCCTGACAGGAAAAACTGGAGAGGGAGGTGCTCAGACACTCCCCCACAATGCTTCACAGAATGATGATATCCCCTGAGCTCATTTAATTGTCTCGAAATTCA